AGCTCCACCCTTTGTAGGTCATGTGTATAGAACACGGTCTCCATGACTTCGTCAGTGGCGAAGTTAAAGAGGATACGTGATTGCGGACATCCTTGTCTTACACTGTTGGAGATATTAGAGAGCGGTGACAGCTTGCCCGAGCGTTACGCGTACTGCACGCTGATAATGTTTACGTATTTCTCGCGCACATCTTTGCTGAGCAGACAATCTCAAGGGGAACACCGGTTTACTGAATCGGGCATCTTTAATGTCGAGGAACACGCCTACAGTGGGCCGCCAATAAATGTGCTTTTGTATCCCTTATGAGTGGGCGTAACTTATTTACAATTTTAATATATTCGGTCCAGCAGCTTACAAGCTACATGGCTCAACTACAATCCGGAAGAGCACTAGACATTTTACGCCTTTCTCCATGGCTCACTTGCTTAAGCTGCTGACTACTTGGCGTCAGCCTCTAGCGGTCATGGGTTCGATCCCCATTAGGGGCCGAGAGAATGCGCACCACTGACGAGCCCCACTAGAGGGAAACTCGTCTAGTGCTCTTTTGAATTGTGGTTGAGCCATCTAACTTATGAACTGCTGGGTCGAATGCATTAAAATTGTTATTTTGTTCCAACGATTGACCTACCATGAAGATGTGGTATCAATGCAGCCGCGGCTTCGACGAAACCCGACTTGCTGCTCACCCAGCTGGCTTCCACGGGCTCCGGCAAGTGTACTAAGAACCACAGAGGCGAGCATCTTATAGCCAATTGAGATCCGACCGATCCTCCAGGATTGCCGTATTCGGAACATGAGCCCCCTTTGAAAATTGGGATTATAACGGAGCGGCTCCAGTCTGCTGCGACATATTCCTGTACTCACAACTACACTAGTAAGTTGTGCAAATCATCATCTGTAAGAGCAGGTCTCCCGAATTTAAAGGGGCTTAGGGAATTCTATCCGCCCCTGCGCTTGAAAGTAGGTCCATGGGGACTGCCCAGAGAAAAGGCGATCACTGGACAATGCAGACGCTGGTAACTCTGGTTCACTAAGCTGCTTTCCAAAGTGTTCAGCCCATCGCGCAAGGAGTTTCGACAAACTGTGCATTGGCCGTCCACCCTCGTCACGTATGGCCTCACTAACACTAGGTCTGCTCTTGCCCATTTCACATATTAGACGGATTCACTCGTGACTGTAATCAAGGGAAGCGGACATATCCATCTCCGATGTGTGAGGTGACCACCATGCTCAGCGGTTTCTCTTCACAATAGCACGCACTTTGGCCCGGAGGTTTTTGCGAGTGTCGTTGTGTTCCCTCCCATCCGGAACACGTCTGCGAGCATCCAAATGTTCCAACTACTGCATAGAGAACCAAAGTCCAATTTTATAATCAGGTTTGCCACATGAAGACATACCTGCTACTAGTCATGTCTGATGTATATGTCACCAGGGATCCCCAACTGTGTTCAGAAAGCGCTTACTCAGGTCGGATGCCAGCATACTTTGTTACGCAGTCAGAACATCTGACTCCGCTAGCTCTCAAGTGTTTATGCGGTTACGGCGTCGCCATATGCACACACTGAGGCGAACTGCAAGACCGGCACAAACCAGTGCGCGGTCACAGTATACGCTCGGACTCCAAATTAAGCGACAGCTTTTGACAAATCCTCTCCAGCGGCATCTGCTCGAGATGTGATAGATTTGCGTCAATCGTTGATTGGAGGTGGGTGGGCACCATCCGTACCTCTGCTGGTGCTGTGTTGTAAGTTACTGCTCGCGAGAAAGAGAATTTTCACACATGTGTAGCAGCCGCTCACCGTTATTATTGCGGGTGCCTACATCGTGTTGGCCGACCAAATACAGCTCATCAGTGAACAGTTTTCCAACTTGGGCGTTCAGATAGCCAGCCAGCACTACAGTACCCGTACATTTTCCGTAACGTAGGGGCTCGTGCAGTTGGTGATAGAACTCATCTTTCACGGAGTCAGCGCTACAGTTTGTGGTGGCGTATGTCGCAATGACAAACAGACACCGTTTATGTGCACGCGACTTCGAAGCTTTGAACGAGCCAGCCCATCTGAAGGCACACATCCAGTTGTTGACCGGGATCCAGTCAACCAGTGCAGCATCTACCCGGGGACACAGAGCACTGCACAAACCAGTCTGATCAGTATTTGACGCTGTGTTTTCTTCAGGTAGACGCAATAAAGCGTGCCGCAGGTGTCGCTTGCGGGGATCGCAGGGTAATCACGGAACTGCTACTTTCCGATAAGCAGATGTCTATCGACCGGGTCTCTAGTGTTAGGGAACGTGCTACCTGTTGGCCAATCTGCAACAAAGTGCGCACATCATAACGATACTGGACCTTTGCGTAGTGCAATGGTTTACTTGACCCATTGAGCTACGCTGGGTAACACTTTCCAAGTGCCTTCAGAGTCATTCATACCAGACAGGTCAATGGTTATGGGTCAGACTAACCCAGTCTCGCAATCCAACCCTCTACGGAGAGTAGGGAGATGTCGATGACCCACTTTCTTTAAAGTCTTGCTATGGGAGACAACTGGTCTGCGGGTCATAAGCTCACAGTTCCGTTAGCGTAAAGCAAGAGCGCCACGCATTGTTTCTGACAATAGAGGGCAATTTCCGGTGCTCAATGGTTTGTTACCGCCCACCTCAAATCAGGTAGCCGGTGGCCAAATTGGTGTAAACCCGCCAACTCCTACTTTCGGCTTGTCGTGGTCGCACATGCGTAACGTACTATGGTCGTAAATCACATGTGTTTTTCACGATATTCAAAGGCTTTGTGACACGCCTCTAGCAGAACCCAATGGGTCACTGCAATCGCACTCCCAAGCTGGACTTGTTCCCCACTCCGTTCTGTGTCAGGCCTTTGAGCCAAAGGCACCGGGTGGAGTCCCTCAAAAAACCTCCAAATTCCCCACTGCTTTGTGGGTCAGACTGTTGAGTCAAATGTTATAGGCAGGACACCTACAACAAAACTGCTCTCTTTTGGAATGATCAGCCGGAAGGTATCATCTGCTCTCTCGACCACGTCGACAATATCTCTTCACCTTTTTCTTATTTTTCTCTTCCCTCTTAACTCTCTTCTTCCCCGCCTATTGACCGAGAATCTGCCGCTGACCTCGCTGCTGCTGCTGCCATGGATACTTCGAACTCGTCCATCAAACCGCGAGTCTCATTTCATATTGGTTCTTTTAACGTCCGCACTTTGGGTCAGATCGTTAACGACAGCGCTGACTGTCACTCCTCACTCTCTTGTTCCGCATGTGTCTTCGAAATACGCATACAAGATAACTGCGTTGTGACGAATCTCCCTGGTTCTGAATCACGACGATGAGTACACTCTTCCTCTCACTGATGATACGGAATCAATGGCTTTATACTTTTACGGTCTAGATATCGCCATCAGCAGACGTGCTGAAGGTAATCTACTCGACTAGAAACCGGTGAAAAACCGCACATGTGCGGTTCGATTTTCAACATGTATTAGTGTTAAAAACAAGCGTCTGAAGACAAGGTACCTTTTTATCACCTCCGTTTATGCTCCTACTGACTGCAGTTCGTAGGGTGCCTATCTTTTACCTCTACTCCGCATGGTGAAGAATACTGACATCCTGATTGTTACTGTTGACTTGGATGCCCAAATGGGTCGTCTTTCAGATTCTGAACAACACTTAGAAGGGCACTTCGGAATCGATGCACGCCGAACAGACAATGGTGATCGATTACTGGGACTGCGTCAAACTCTACATCACAAGCGCGCCAAGCAGGCGCGCACTAGGGCACTGTTCAGAATTGATCCTTCTGTCGGCTTTTTTATTGTCCCTTCATCATTCTTAAGCTTAGTCAGACCAAGCGCTCCGCTCTCAAGTAAAGCATTCTAAGATCAGCATTCTTCCTAAGCGATTGGTCTGACCGGTGTAGTCTACATAAATTCAACAACCAGTTCCACCGAGTCACTAACGCGTATTGTGCTGATCAATTTGGCAACATCCTCATCATTCGTTCTGTGATGCAACCACACATAGACACTGTTTCACATGATTCGGTAGGTCTCGCTAGACTTGTCTGCGACAAATTTAACTGCGTATCGTATTACAGCTCAACTGAAATTCTTGTACATTTTGTGGTTTCACCAATTCAGATGCAACCTATTATCTTTTATATGCTCCATGTGTTTGATTCGAAAAGTCTATTTATTATCTATTCTCCCACACGGGCTATCACATCTCTCGCTTGACGATTAGTGAATATACCGTCAATTTGTGCAGATCAGCTAATCGCTCGATCAGAATAGTCTTATAACGGAATTGCTAACTGGCAACTGCATGTCCCACCACTGAAGCATTTCGTCATATCTTAAATGCCGCTGACAGCCCACTGAAAAAGGCGTTGCGTTCCACGTCCAGATAGATACTGACTCTTGTTTATTCTTACTTTTACTCACCCGTGAACGTCACACAACCGCGGCTCATTGAAGGGATAGCGTTTCGTTCTACATGTGCGCAGTACAACAGCTGCAATGCATTTTGCACAGCCCTGCTCGCGCGGCGTGAGATGAACTTCTGTTACCCAACTAGTTCCTATCGAGATTAACTTATACACCTCCAAACATCAAGAGGGAATTTGTGAAGTTTTCTTTCTACAGACATACCCTTGAGTGCCATCATTCGCACGTATGCTGCATTTGACTTTCCACAGTTTCGTTAACCAGCCAATTTCCTTTCTGATTTGACGTTTTGCATTGTTTTACTTTATTCGAACGGTCACATGAGGTGGAGTTATTTTGCTCCTCAACACCCCCGTCTTCCCGTACGAAATATTGTTATTCCTTCAACTTCACCAGTGCGTGCGGAGTGCTGTTGCCAATTTCTACATCTACGCAGTTACAAAGGTCCAGTTTGGAATAGGATGTCTTTCGTGCTACACTTGTTTGCTCATCGCTTTCGTTCAACTTAGCCCTGCGTTTTTTCTCTGATTCACTGACTTTATCACAGCACTCTAAGCTACAGGAACGCGCGGAATTGCTGCGAGTGGCATTGCAGCGTCATCAGGATTTCACTCGAAATTTGATAGCCGGCCATGCGTTTGACCGGCACCTATTCGGTCTTCGTCAGATCTCGATCACTTCGCAGATATCTGGCGAAGATACCCAAGAAATTACGAATTTCTTCACAGACCCTACATACACTTCATCATTGTGCTACCGGTTATCTACAAGTCAGGTGAGGGATGATTTGTTTTTGCTCCCTCTAGGCCTGTACTTGCTATGTTCGCGCGGTTTTCATCTTGCAATTGACGCAATATCACTTAACCGTTATCTTCAGTAATTTGCCTAATATATGTTTTCGAAGCTTCTCTTAGTTTCCGTCACACAGCTTTCACACCCACCAGCCACATACTTTTTGAGGCTGCGATTGCTTTTTGTTTAATTCTTCCATTTGAGTTCGGAGAATGCCTCTCCGTACTGGTTTAATTTGCACTATATTTCACATTCCTGTTTCTCGCTGACATCACACCTAGTTGCCACCGACTTTCATGTTGCTACCTGCATTCTTTTTTATTTCTCCATTACCTTAGTACTGCGATTTCGTTTTCTCCATACTCACCAACACAAGCATCACTACGGACAGCAGCGCATCCGTGTCGTGGCCTGGTGCTTTGCTTTCGTACAATCAAAGTGACCTGGCGAATGAAGGATGATAAGATGGGAAGGAGAGGGATTTAGCATAAGGTCTAAGCACACTGATCATATACTCATACTGATGTCATCTACATCTTGCCAAATGCATACGGTCACAAAAATCCGGCTATCATGCGAAGGTAATGCGGCGTCAGTGAAATCAGCTCCTTGGGAATTTCAACTCCTGGCACCATGAGTAACCTCACCGCACATAGAACTGCACATCGTGCGCCTTTTAAACAAATAGTCCAACCAAGAGATAACAGAAAGCGCGCCGTTATTGCAGTCTGCTAGCCATGTCCCGTAAAGTCTCCATCCGAGTACAAGGTGAGCCACGGAGACTGGAAGCCGAAGCGGACCAACGTCACCCAATTTAGCCCTCAGAGTCCTTATTTCCTGCTAACTAGTCAACTTTGACCTACCGCGAACCTTGCGTCATACAACATCCGGTGAACTATACAATGCCGTCCTAGGTAAATACTGATGAATGCTCTTCAGCTGTGCACCGTAACGGCGCTTCGTTGCCGCGCGATCACCACCAGTCGCGCGTGGACTGAGTATACCGCGAGGACACCTCCTGAGGTCAAAGAGGCCGGTTTTCGCTGTAGCTTTGTGCACACGGTTTCTGAAGTCACTGATGTCCCAGATTTACTAAGACGGTTCCAGCATTGGCTAGGTCATGTCCTCGGTATGCCCGTTGATCGGCTTCCTCAGCACTCATTATACGCGGTTGCTGCACCAAGTTTGGTGGCCGTTCGGTGACATGGCATAGAGGCATAATGAAACTAAATGAAAGACTTGGTCAGGCTGGTGCGTGCCGTCTTCGTGTATGGGGGCCTCAGGATGGTCCACACCACTGGTTGGAGGCCGTGTCATACAACCCAGTCACGAAGTCAGTGGTGTGCCTGCATTCGGCTTCTTCCATCTGGTTGTTAATTTTTGTTCCATTTGGATTAGTCTAACGTACTTCCTTCTTGCTCTCATTTTCTCTACGTTCTGTTTGCACCCAACCCCACTATCCTACCGCTGTTATTTATTGTTATTCTTATGGTGTGATTCGTGTCAACTGGATCTACCGTGCTTAGCTGTCCGGATCATAGTTGTTCAACTGAAGTGAACGGCACATGTGCTTACTGCCAACTGCTACTTCCCGCACCTTCTGTGAAGGTGCTAGATGTACTCTCGCGATGCAATTTAAAGTCCCTTGATAACACGAGCAGACTATATCATAATCTAATGCGCATTCTTTGGGCGCTCAAACCTAGCTTCTGTGCTTGGTCTGAAGAGGTCGCCACTTGCTAATTCTCTTTCGTCATAAGACAACTACTGGAGTATGACCCACCTGCCTACTGCCCAACACCCCAGGCGAAAGATAGATCGAACGGGTCCAACAAGTCGCTACCAGGCTCACTCCAACTTACGGAGGATTATCGTACTAAGCCCGGCGCGATAAACTGGACTCTACATCTTGTCCTATCGTCAGTTGGGATTTGATCCCATCATGACTTTGTTACACCCAAGCGAAATCCGAACACCGGTATGGTAGTAGGAAAACTTTAGCGTGAAATGGTGCACTCTACTGAGCACATGAGCACGTAAAACTGTCTGCCACGAGAGTCACATGAATGCGAGAACGAGTTCCAGTTCGAGGCGAACCAATGGCGGACGCTGATTGTTTGGCAAACAAACACGTAGGCACACATGTACATGCGCTCCCACGCAGCAGGCGTTCCGGCGTAATAGCAGTGGATGGATTTGGCACGACTAATGACCGCAGCAGACCTATCGCATATGACATCTCAGTGACTGAACTGCTGTCACAAAAATTAACATTCAACTAGAATGGGAATCGGAACTGAAGCCGATATCGCAAGCAATTGTCTCAGAATGCCATACGTTGCTCAACTTGAATCCTGGTACCAATGTGGTCGCAAATTCGGTAGTCAGGGAAGAGCAACACTTCTGCCACACTGCCACTTCAAACTCGGATGTGCGCGTCAGACCTGAGGATGCGACGGTAGAAATCAATGACAGTCAGATTACGCAGATAAATAGCCGCCACGAAGCAATACTCCAACCTGGTCCAGAATGTTGCAGAATCAACAGTGCTGCCCTGAACCTCAAGTCAGTCACTAAACTAGTATCTAGAGCAAAGCGCCTAGTGCCAAATAAAAAGCAAAAACATTGCAGTCATCATGTGGGGGGAAAGCGGACAGACAGCGTGCGTCATTTCAAACTTGGGAACAGGATGTACGCACGAGACTTCCGAGGACCGGGGAGGTGGTCGACAGGAAGAGTGTTCTGCAGAAACGGTTGGCTCATCCACGAGCTAATGGTAGGAAATGAGAATGAGTCAGGCACGCCAATCAGCTGAGGCCGAATCACGACAAGACTCACAGTCCCCCCAGAACCGCCATCCCTATCATGGGACATCCTGCTCGACACGTTTTGTTTGGAAGACGAAGCTGAGCTGGTACGTGAATCACAACATAAGATGCAAGCAGCAGATGACGCACAATGCAGTCCGACCCGAAAACGGAGACGGCCACCATGGTTGCAAGTTGATCCCAAAGAGAAAACCTATGAACAAAGTTGAATTGGAACGGTACGCTGGCATACTCGGAAGCGGAGGTAATAGAGGCGTAAGCGGAGCACGTAGGCTGTCTGCTACATGGAAAGGTCATCAGCGCGGGCGTGCTACGGCCTTTGACCTTTCCGCTGAATTTGGGAATCGAGTGAGAATTGATCGGCCAGCAAATACAGGCCCGCGTCAAGGGAATCGAACTACTCCGTCAATATGGTAAACCCGTGTAGCGGAATTCACTCACACTGGCTGAAAACCAGACGCAGAAGAGTGAGTGACCTTGACCTCCAAAATTAGCATGTTTCGTTACCAATAAGTAGAGTTAACCTATGCTGTAGATATACTCTCTCTGTCTACCGAGTCTGGCCTTTTTGTATTCCTTCGGTTGGCTGGGCGCGTGACTGTGCAGTCAGACAGTCGCAGTCTCACAGGGCAGCAAAGCAAACAGTACAACAGTTGTCAGTGGCAGAGAGCAGAGGGAAAGCAGGCTTTACAACACCTTCATGTTGAGGCCACTACTTGACTTGCGAACACCATGCAGCACACGCGGACACCGGTACAAGCTTGTGGTGCCGGATATAAAACCCTGTGCTTCGAACGGAGAGTGGTAAATCTTTGCAGCAGTTTGCCAAAACAAGTCGTGGAGGCCAAATTTGTGCAGCAGTTTAAATCATTGTTGGATTAACCTTTCATCACCATTCGCTTTTAAGAACGACTGTCAGGCCACTTTAAATGCTACCTAAATGTTTGAAGAACAATTAGATTATCACGGGCGGGAGATACTTTTTATAACTTTTAGATTATATTGCGATGGATCGTACACATCCAAATTTCTCTTTGCTCCCACAATACTCAGTGTTCATTGCGGGAATGGGGCACCTGCCAACGACGCACTGTCATTAAAGCGTTGTCGCGCGAGACTGACACAGCATCGGCGCGGCAGCTTCTTTCTCGCTTTCACTTCACACCATGATAACAAACTTCATCCGCAGCTAAATCAGCAACATGTGCACTTGATACAAGAATGCGTAAACGTCACAGTTGCCAGTTTCGAGTCGTATCCTGTCGTATCATGGGTTGCACACTTTTTATTTCGCGTAAACTCCGGTGTATCGAGGGAAGGGATCCAACAGCATCCGCTACCAGGTCGGTGATAGCCTTCTGGGGCATTAAGCACTGCTCACAGGTCGAATAGACGAGAACCTCCCCTGTACTTGAGTGGACATACATAGCACACTCCAAGACTAGTAAGACTTACTCGGTTTCATTTGTTGGCTTAACGAAATAATCTGATAGCTAATCCCTCATACTCATGCTCACTTTATGTTCCGGACTCGAGTGTTACACCATAAATCTGGACGCGCTTTAGATCTTCCGGTCGTGAGCCGTACCCATCTTGTTGCTACATACACGGTACTAAGGTGTCCGAAATTCATTGTGACACTTGTAAATCCTGACGGTCCACCGCTGTCCCCCATGACTCAGTGACATAAGCTGCTTGCTGGTGGTCATGGAGTTCATATATCCGCAATACTGACGAGACTCAACAGGTTGAACCGGCCTCATATCGCTTCTCCTGGGGGTGTGGAGACCATTTGATTTGTAAACCGCTTCGATGCACTCACAATAACTACAGGTGACCTAGTTGCGTTACTGCTGGTGCAACAACTAGGGTGGGCATTTAAAAGCACAACCTTCAAGTTTTCACCACGATGACTGATAGTTCTTGGTCGTCGAAACGGTGTATTTTTTCTCATGGGCCTTTTGTCCAGTTCTCTCCGGCCATCACAACCTATCCTCGTTTTTTCAACTAGTTTCTCCACACTATCGTTTAGTGCATATGGGGGCCGAACTGCACTTTATTCACATGTCACTTTCTCTTTCTACTTGCACTCCGTCCAGGTTCGAGCCCCCAACGACGTGTCTGTTCTCTTTGGACCTGTCGATTCAAACGGCTACGGCGTTTGTTACAATATTCATCGGGATGCAATTCAGATTAGTGCGAGCGCTTTCCGCTCGTCCAACCAGACTACGCATCCGTCCGAATTTCTGACCCATTTTGCACACGCGCTGTCCGACATGTATGGTTTACTGAAGGCACATACTGTGTGAACTGGTCTCGCGACGAATTTCTTCTTTCGATACAACTTCATCGCCTCCCTGACCACTCGCCCATACCACCGCATCACTTGGTGAATCATTCACCTCCACTTTTCCGGCCACTCCCTACAATTTACTCATCCATCGCCTTCCTAGTTAGCTACTGATTTGTCCCCGTTATTTATTATCGGATCTTCCGCAGCTCTCTTGTATGTCTACACACTGGCCGTGTTACTTCTTTTTTCTTTGACCACCTCCGGTGCACTTTTTCTCGTTTTTTTTACGTGTTAAGACTGTTTTTGGATGCTTTCTTCACTATTTTTTGATCTTATTTTGACCACAAGTATCTTTCGTTTAGCCTGGTGCTCCTACTTGAGTGCACAATCTGCGGTCGCATTGGACGCAATAGGAACACTCGTATCGAACTTTCTACTATTATGTAGTTTAGCGAAACAATTAGCGTTGCCCATTTTTGCTTTCATCTTTTAAATGTCTTTTGCAATTTGCCATTTCGTTATCCTGAATTCTTCGTCTGAGCAACTGTCGTACATTGTAAAACCAGACATTCTCAGATGCTTCGTTTGTCAAGTCTCTTCGACACTCGTCACAGACCAATTGTTTGAAACCACCAGTACTAGTCCTGCTGTCCTGCTTGGGCAACTTCGGCAACAGTTTTCAGAGTTCCCACTTCTCACCTACCATTTTAGCAGCCACCAGTTGTACCACTACTTTTCTTAATGATCCTTTTTGACACAGTGGCACTTTAACCCCGCTTTTGATTGTTATAGGGCATGTTCTGCAGGGGCTGGACAGTGTGTGGTCAGAGTGGGACATAAGGTGTTTAATAAACATCTGCTTGCTCACTCCCATTCTGCGCTGAGTCAATTGACTTAATGAGCACAGTTGGAGGTGGAGGCTAAGTGCGGGTGAATGTTTTGACTTCCGTGCTTCTCTGTTTATCTGAGTATTATGAAGTATATTACTTTACTAATAAGTGGGAGTATTTTTATTAACTTTTACTGTTATGACGCAGCACCTCACGAGCCAGCTGGTCTAAGTACCCATTTGGGAAAGTACCAGGCAATCGTTTCGCCCTGTTGAGACTCTTCATTGTTTACGCATTCCCTCGGTTCTCCTCAGGGGTCAGAATCCATAACCCTTTGCTTTAGCCCGTAAGTCTGAAATATTCTGCGTGCGTCGCTTCACTATGGGGTTCATCGTCACATTCGGGTCGTCGCTTACCGCCTTTGCATAGTCTTCGCGACGAATCTACGTGATGTGATAGTTTTGGGGAAGCCACGCTAAACGGTGTCAAGAAATCCGATGAACACAGGATGGCTGTTTTATAGTATGCAACGAAGCTAATGTTTGTCGGACGCCATTATGATGTTCAGGATATGGGCTATAAAGCACAACGACCGACGTACTGGCTAAAATACCTACTACTCTAGTAATCAGTAATCGCCTTTAAAGCTTACATGCTTACTCGCTTCGTGGCGTCTTAAAAGTGAGATTACAGTTCTTGGGGGGGGGGGTGGAGCAACACTGTCCTCTGCACCTCCTGACGCACTTAACAGCTCCAGATGACCCGCATTTTCTCGCAGCCAGCGATCATTCATGGCGGTCCGCTACCATCACCCATGGTTCAAGTTTTTGGCTCTTCCGCCTCCAGCCAGTCCCCATATGAGATGCAACAATCGACCAGCCTTTTTTCTGGATGTGTGGTTGCTGTCTCACGGAATCCAGCTGTAAAGCGCTTTTCCAAAAATGTTGATAGCAAAAGTCCTGACTTAGTGGACTCATCATGGTATTGATATCAACACTAACCGAAGATTCCCCAGTTCGATTTAATGAGAAGGATGGTTCCTCTCCTGAAGGCCATACCGGCCTGTGGTCTTAAGGATCGCAAGCTTTGTGATCTGAATTCGCGGGTTCAAGTCTGCGTAGGGGATTGGGTGACCCTCGCAGTACCTTTAGCCCACCCGCGACTGGTGGTAGTTGCACGACGGTGAAGCGTCGTTACTGCATACTGGCGTGCTGCTGATGCCTTACTTCATTGTTCCTTCTCGGAGACCGTGGACTACGTCTTCCGAAATTAGTGTATTCAACATATTGTCAGGTCGCATTTTATCTGCAAATAACATGACTCATACATTTTATCGGCTGGATGAGCGTTCCAAATCTGATGCCCTCGGAAGAGAAACCTTCATTCTAGATTGCTTTGCTATTGATCCATGTGGGGTTGGATTGACGCCATCCGTGTCCAGATTTGCTTATAAATGCAACCTCCATAAGACAGCCCCAGAACGCCTACATCTACAGAGGGTCCATGGTTGGCATGCACTACGCTACCCATAACTCCATCCACACATTCCATGTCCTGTGCAAACCCGGAGGAATACGATCGGGAGGTATGCAGGTGCGAGCCACGTTTCATCAATGGAACCGGCCCACACTCCCTCAACATACACAGCAGCATTCTTGATGTTTGGAGAATCATGAGTATCAGACTTGCACAAGGCGATGGTTGGGCCGTAGTCCGCTCCACACTGGTTGGACACACCCTTTGAGCCTAGCACGGTCACGAGGACGCTGCACTCCACCTCCCAGCAAAGATTAGCTGTCTCCTGGAATCAGTAATCTAGGTAGAGGATGTTAGCCAGGTACGAATCTTGTCGACATTCACGTCAAGCGCAGCCACACCGGGGATATCAAGCAACCCAACCTAGAATTTGTAAGAAACTAAACATGCAAAACTGACACGAAATTTGCAGCAGAATTACAGTGCTGAGCAAATCAAATAAAGTGGAATGCTTTGTATCCAGATCAAAATGATCTAGTTTAGGTGGAAATCGGTTTAGCTCTGAAGAAGCATGCTGTATGCAATGTCATCCTCAGCATGAGGCGCATATATATATATATATATATATATATATATATATATATATATATATATGTTTGGCGGCATCCGGTTTCGGATTTGCCTGTCACTGTGGCCAGCCACAGGACGCCTGCGCCTACAGAGGGACCATGGATGGCTTGCGCTGCACCACCCACAGCTCCAACCACACACCCCATATCCAGTGTAAACCCGAAGGAATAAGACCGGGAGGCATGTGGATGGGAGCCACGTTTCATCAACGGAGCCGGCCCACACTCCTTCACAAGCAAACACAGGCACGCTGTATTTGGGGAATCAAGCGCACACAAGGCGGTGGCTGGACCGTCGTTCGCTTCACACTGAGTGCATGGAACCGCTCTTTGATCCTAACACGGCCACAAGGATCGTGCACCCCGTCCCCTCCAGCAACGGCCAACTGTCTCCTGGAGCCAGTATGGACGAGGTAGTGGGTAATAGACAGGTAGGAACCTTGTCAACATGCACATCAAGCGCAGCCACACCGGAGATATCTAGCAACAGCCAATCACCTGGAACGACAAGATGAAATAAAACAAATCCAATAATGCATACAGGTACGGTGGCACAACTCTAAGCTAAATAAGGATATGAAGTAAGTTGGTTAGCAACGAATCCGCGATAAGGAAAAGTGTCCACAAGTTCGTTGAAAATACTACGAAACGCAACAAAGTTACCGAAGATAATCGCAATTAATGTAAGCAACATGGCCAGTTAATAAAGGAGTATTTAGGTGGGCAGAACAAACCAAATAAAGTGAAATGAAATTTCTCCAGCTTAAAAACCTAGTTTAAGTGTAAGTTGGTTTAGCCCAACTGCGGTGAAGAAGCATCAAGAATGCAACCTCAGCCTCAGCATGGGGCATATATATATATATATATATATATATATATATATATATAATACGAAAGACACATCCGGACACAGATACTGCCACTCCAATGTATCTCCATGTTACATTGCACTAAGCTGAGGTTCATGTTGTACACACCATGTTTCTTCATCGCAGTTCAGCCACACCGACTTACTCGTGTTCTGACCCCTGCTCCTCCTCTTTAATGCGCTTACTTTGATTTACTCCTTTCTACCACAGATTCAATGCCAATTTCGCACATATTGTAAATGAATAACTGGTATATTCCTTGACTGTGCGTGGCACAATCCAACTAGGTGGTCTGATCAATGTGTACGGAAAGATTATCATTTCACGCTTTACACATGGATCCAAAACGGACTTGAAAGTAATTGGCAGGCTTAAGGTATTAGATAAATTGAGAAGTTTGGAATGGTAACAAATACAGATTTTACATTTTAACCAAATAGTTGGACACATCTCCAACGCTTAGTCCGATCTTCATTTGAGCTGTATTTTTTCTCTTCACAAATGCTTGCCTAGCAGTTAACCACTTCCAACCATCACGGTATAACTCTCCTTACCCCACGACGTAAACATCTTACCAGTGGTTCTAAGAATACAATGAACGATGGTTTCATACGGGTTAAGAAGCACTGTTTTACAAGCCCCGTTGGATAGTCTGGTGGGTTCCCACTAAACGTTAATTAAAATACGCAGTTATTAGTTCTACTGTCAAAAGAATGGACTTATCCTATATAATGCAGTAGCCATGCACTCCGAGTTTTTCCATAGATTCACTAGACGAAAAAATAACAAGGTATTTCCAGGAGTACTATGCAGAGGAGTATCAAACAACCAAATATAACTGGCGGAGTGCGTCATGCGACCGTCTTTTAAATATGGCTAGCGTTGGTGCAGAAATAAACGATTCGGGGAGAGCGTTCCGTGGTTGACACGCTCAAGTGGAAAATAAATTTCTGTAGCACTCCAGACGGTTGAACTGTTTGCTAACTTCAAAGATTGACCTCGCAGGTTGGTGTTATTGCTGAGTTGCAGTAAAGAACAGCACATATGATTTGGATTGTGCATCTCAAGTATGCCATGGTCAAGTCACCTCGTAGTCGGCGATACCGCCCGCTGAATACTCCCAAACGTTCCAGTCTCTGCTGGTATGGAAGGTGACGCATTCCAATGACGTATATGGGAGCCCGCCGTTAAGGTTGGTCCAGTGCAATATGG